TTGCCCTGGTACACCCCCCCACAGAAGATGTTACTCGCAGGTAAAGATTCTACCTCAAAACACAAAGCTCTGTTTCTGCTCTGTTAGAAACGGGGAACTTTCCAAGCCTCTCGTTGGGAAATTGAAAAGGAGCAGGTTTATACCTGTCTTCGTTGCTAGAGGTGGCGCTTGCCAGGGCAGAACAACCATGAGGAAACTGGGTTGAAAGTCAGGAGAACCGTTAGGATTTTTAAAGCTGATTTTCCTGTTTGGGTAGACTCAGGTGAGAAAAGACTGTCTGAATTATCTAGCAGGAGTCACTTTGGATCTCTGTTCAAAGCCTTCAGAGAAGGAACCCAAGAAACAAGAAGATATCTGACGGACCAGCCAAACCTTTTTAGAGGTCTGAGAGGGCGTGAGATTTATTCTCATCAAAGTGACAAGCCGAGGAACAGCATTCCCTCTATCGATAATAATAATCGGATACTTGTATGGGGTTAACTTTTATAAAAGCAACGCCGACAACAAATCCCACCACTGTTTCCTACCAAAGAATGTGTTCCATGTGGCCGAGAAGTCAACTGCATCACACTGCTAAAACACGAAGACATGAGCTCATTTCTATTTATTGCTTAATTTGTCATTTTAAATAGAGTGCCCTAGTAATCTTTGTTCTCACCGTTTCTGTAATTAAACAAAGTAATGTGAATATTGCAGATTTTTCTCTTTAGATTTTTAAGAGACCATTAACTGCCCCCTTAGGATGTGGGACACACTTAACGTCTGTAGCTGATGGCACCTGGTGGACTTTATAAACACAAACCCTGGCAGCAGGGTTTCCCTTAAATTTTTATTATTCTCTGGACACATGTATTTACATACATAAACACATATCTCAATTTGGGGACTTACTGTAATTCTACACTTGTATCCTCAGAATGAATTTTGTTGCTTTCTATACCAGTTTCCAGGAGTGGCACTCTTGAAGCTCTGGAATTCTCAAATTTCAGAATTTGATGGCATTGGGATATTTCACAATAGAGTCTTTGTAATTGCGACATACCGCCAAGAAAAGTGGTTCTGACTGCTTCAATCCTAATGAGAGGATGTGGCAATCACTGTAACATTTCCCCCTTAAAGATGAAACAATCTTTATTTTTGAAACGTGCAGGGAAAACGCCTGAGGTCAAAAAGACAGTTTTGGACGAATTCGAATTCTAGACTTTTTGAGAGTATAAATCTCTGGAAATTAGAAATCCAGCCTCCCCAAATAAGTCAGAACATAGTAATGCTCCCTGGAATTTATAGAATTATGGATCTCTCAAAGTTTTCTTGGGGGTAAGGGAGATGTGTTGTTATGATCCCAGTCCACAGATGGATAAATGAGGCACAGAGAGATTAATTCGTCCAGTGATGGGGCCAGAAAGCAAAACCTAGGTCTCCTTACACGCTGCCGAGCTCTTTTCTTTAGATGTGAAATACTTCATTGTATTAAAATTTTCACCACCTCAAAACAGGATCTGAATACAGTACTGTTGATGAAGAAAGGATATGAGCCTGAGTTAATCCAGACTGCCACATGGAAAAGCCATCTGGGAGGGTATTTTGAAATAAACAGATGGAAAAGGAAGAGATCCTTTTGAATGTAGTATTAAATTTACATTATCCTCCATGAACTTCCTTGTAGCCCCCATGTTTATATAATTCATCACTATGTCCTTAGACAATATAGATTAGGAAGCCCAATGAGCTCACATTCTTTTTTTGTTTTTTATTTTTTTAACTCTGAACTCTCCTTTCAAGGGCAACTTCTGGAGCAGGGTCTGTAACACAACCACACGGATCAGCGAAGACCAGCCCAGTCTATCTGTGCCTTCTTTGCCATTCCTGAGTTTCTTGGGAAAACATTTATTATTTCTTGGTGTATTACTGACCAATCCGCAGTTTCAGACACACTGATAATCTCCACCTGTAATTTATTTGTTTCTGCCCCTCTACTTTTGAATATGCCACTCATCTCATTCATAGCATCTCTGTTTCCCTAATTTATATCTCCATTTTCCCCTCTGCAACTAGATGGCAACACAAAATAAAAAGTCTTCCAGGAATTATCCCCTTAAGTAACACATGGTATTCCACTTATCCGACTGTATCCCCTATGTGCCTCATATCCATTGGCACTCTGTGGTCATTTGTTCAACAAATGTTCACATGTCTTCTCGTGCGTGTTCACCAAGTATCTTCACCTCTGGCTGCACATTAGAATCGCTTGGGGAGTTCATAAAAAATACCGATGCTTGGGTCTTCAGACCCCAAAAAATCAGAATCAGTGAAGGGTAGGGCCGGTGGCGTAGGCAAACTTGATCTTCAGGAAAAAAAGGTCCTGATCGGTAGCAGCTGTCAAATTCCACGGTGTAAATACTTACATCAGAGTCGATTTCAAGCTACCTACTGGACGTCACCTGACACAGAATTTGAAAGAGGTGCTCACGATTGGCTCACAAGGGCTGGCTCTGCATATACTACTGGGCAGGGTTCATGCATATACACAGTTCACGTACATGGTGATATATGTATGTCCTATATAATCTCTAGGTGATTCTACCATGCAGCTAAGGCTAAGAAACTCTGAACCAGATGACACATTTCTTGGATGCGATAACTATTTCATGTGCCTCATCTTCCCTACAACACCAAGAATAGATACTGAGTCAATGTTGTTAACAGACCACAGAAGGTTATTAATCGAATGTTCATAGCCAGTGATGCAACAGTGAACACGGCAGTATCCTTTGGCTCAAGTGAACTGACTTTTAAATTTACTTTGTCTTGATTTTCTTGCTGATGAAAGATGAGAGGCTAAATATATTCGCAATCTCCTACTTAAAATGTCAAGTTTTGGGGCGCCTGGGTGGCGCTGTCGGTTAAGCGTCCGACTTCAGCCAGGTCACGATCTCGCGGTCCGTGAGTTCGAGCCCCGCGTCGGGCTCTGGGCTGATGGCTCAGAGCCTGGAGCCTGTTTCCGATTCTGTGTCTCCCTCTCTCTCTGCCCCTCCCCCGTTCATGCTCTGTCTCTCTCTGTCCCAAAAATAAATAAAAAACGTTGAAAAAAATTAAAAAAAAAATAAAATGTCAAGCTTTTGTTTATATTTTGTTTTGTTTGATATTGTTTACAAACACTCAAACACTGGTATTTATTTTTAGTTCCCCGTACCACTGTTGGCTTTTAGGAATGGGGGCAGCCCTGAGAAATTTTTTTCATGTTAACTCTCTTTTATGCTACTTAACACATACATGTAATTACGCTGACACATTTTCCCTGCATGCTTACATGTGTTTAGAAGCTTCAGTTCTCTTTCAAGCAGCATTTGTAAAGAATAGTAGACACACAAGATTGCTCGGATGGTCTTTCCCAGTCAAAACAACATTGTCCCAAGAGAACAGGGTGCAAAGTACCTTTTTAGAGACCTCCAGAGAAAATATCACATGGATATTTTCAGTTATGTGAAAGAGATCTACAAAGAACTTGATAACCCACAACACCGGGTAACAACTTACTTCAGCAGTTTCTGTGTGATAAAGCCAGATCTCCTGGGTATCTCTTTAAACTTGGAAGGGGAGAATTGTGAGACACATTTATACTTTAAGAATGGTTAAATTGACTCTTGGTTAAATTTACTCGTGGTTAATTTAATCTTCAGGTTTTTTTCTTCCTTCAAGATCTACTTCCTCAATAGATACAATTCTTTTTTTTTTTTTTTTAATTTTTTTTTTTTTCAACGTTTATTTCTTTTTGGGACAGAGAGAGACAGAGCATGAACGGGGGAGGGGCAGAGAGAGAGGGAGACACAGAATCGGAAACAGGCTCCAGGCTCTGAGCCATCAGCCCAGAGCCCGACGCGGGGCTCGAACTCACGGACCACGAGATCGTGACCTGGCTGAAGTCGGACGCTTAACCGACTGCGCCACCCAGGCGCCCCCTCAATAGATACAATTCTTATGTTTCCATGTATAGATTATATTTAGGACAAAAACACGAAGCATAAAGAGTAAGAAAAGTAAACCTGGCTCCTCATTTTGATGTTGCCAACACCTCAGAAACTGTGATGCAGCCAAGAAGGCAGGACCTGAGGGTTCATCAATCTGCAAAATTGGTATGACTTAATTTCCCAGTTTCTCAGCCCTCTTTGAGGATGTTTTGGCTTATCCAAGGTTATGGAATAATTCAATGAACAGATATGTTTCCTGTCATGAATCATGATATATTTTTCAGCTAATAAGTCCTGTATCAAGTCAATGGAATATGGGTAGATAGAAGGAAAGGACAAAATTTGATGTTTAAGATTGGCAAAACACATGGTAAGATCATTAAATATTTCGTATGAGGCACTGAAATAAAGATTTTACTTTTTAAAGTATTTATATTTGCTTTGTACACTTTAGGCCTTGATCTTCTAGGGTTTTCTTTTCTTTTTCCTTTTAAGATTTTATTTGTAAGTAATTTCTTTTTTTTTTTTCAACGTTTTTTTAAATTTATTTTTGGGACAGAAAGAGACAGAGCATGAACGGGGGAGGGGCAGAGAGAGAGGGAGACACAGAATCGGAAACAGGCTCCAGGCTCCGAGCCATCAGCCCAGAGCCCGACGCGGGGCTCGAACTCACGGACACGCGAGATCGTGACCTGGCTGAAGTCGGACGCTTAACCGACTGCGCCACCCAGGCGCCCCAATAATTTCTACACCCAACGTGAGGCTCAGCCTTGAAACACCTTAGGATCAAAAGTCCCAAAAGCTCCATCAACTGAGCTCACCAGGCGCCCCCTACGGTTTTTGGTGACACAACTCAGACTATGTATTCCTGGCTTTGTCTGAAGGACACAACGAATTTTCATGAATACTGGGATGCTGACATAATCAAAACTAGAAAAGGACACATTTAAGGTTTAATTTGGGGTTATATCTTTTCACTTTACTCTTTATCTTAATTGGAAGGAAAAGAAAATCATAATGCCCATCTCTTACCTGAGCAGGCTTCTTCTGAACGACTTGTTGTGGCTGAGGAAGAAACAAACAAAAAACCTGTTACGTCTTAGAAGGAAACATACTTCATGACAATAATTAAGTATACGTGTTTCAAATATACACATTTGTCTGCAAAAATTTGGTTCTAAAATTAGATTCACGGGAGTTATGAAAGGGCCTAATTTGCTAACATTTTGCTTTAAAAACACTCCGCTCTCTTGGGATACACTTTACATACGATACAACTCACCAATAATGTGTATAATTCAGTTTCTTTAGTACATCCGGAGAGTTGTAGTGTCATCATCATCACAATCTAATTTCAGAACATTTCACCTCCTCTAGAAGAAACGCCATACCCGTTATTATTGACTACCCCCCACTCCCTGCTGCCTGCCTAGTCACCCTGCCATCCCTAACCAACCACTCATCTCTCCGTCCCTGTAAATCTGCCTACTCCAGACATTTCAGGTAAATGGAATCATACAATATATGGTCTTTTGTGCCTGGCTTCTTTTACTTAGCGTAACGTGTTCCAGGGTCATCTGGGTCATACCATGCATCGGTCCTTCATTCCTCTTTATGACTCCATACCATCCCATTGTATGGCCACACCACATTTTGTTGATCCATCCGTCAGTCGATGGACATTTGGGTTGTTTCTGCCATTTGGCTATCATGAATAATGCTATGAGCATTCGTATGCAAGTTTTAGTGGAGACATGTTTTCATTTCTCTTGGGTAGTTTGGAGTGGAATTTCTGGGTCATACAGGTGACTCTAGGATAAACTTTTTGAGGAGCTGTCAGTATTTCAAAGCAGCTGCACCATTTTACATTTCCACCAGCAATGCATGAGGGTCCCAATTTCTCCACATACTTGCCAACACTTGCTGTTGCCTGTCTTTTTCATTATAAATATCCCACTGGGTGTGAAGTTCGTCACTGGGGTTTTGATCTGATTTTTCCCTAATGACAATTGAGGCTGAAAATCTTTTCATGGGCTTATGGGCAATTTATTTATCTTCTTTTTTTTTTTTAATGTTTATTTATTTTTGAGAGACGGAGAGAGAGAGAGAGAGGGAGTGGAGGAGGGGCAGATAGAGAGGGAGACACAGAATCCGAAGCAGGCTCCAGGCTCCGAGCCATTAGCACAGAGCCCAATGCGGGTCTCGAACTCACGAACCACGACACCATGACCTGAGCCGAAGTCGGACACTTAACCGACTTACCCACCCAGGTGCCCCAATTTATGTATCTTCTTTAGAGAAGTATCTTCCAGATCTCTTGCCCATTTTCAAATGTGTCTTTTCATTATTGAGTTAAGAGTTCTTTATATGTTCTGGATATGAGTACCATCAGAATATGATTTGCAAATGTTTTCTACCATCCTGTGGGTTTGTTTGCTTTCTTGATGGTTTCATTTGCAGAATATTGTATTCTATCTGTATCTGTATCTAATTACGTATATAGAACAGAATTCTCTTTTTTGAGTGAAACACCTAAGGGAAGTTTTTTCTACCCAGCTTAAATGAATTTTCCAATAATTAGAATATTAGAAAGATATTTAAACCATTCTTTGGTATTGTAAAGTTGGGATTTGAAGCCCGAGCTTTTTGATGGATGACTTCAAACAAAGTGACTTCAGAGTACTCACTTTCACATCTGAATATGAGCCTCAGGCTCTGGGCTGATGGCTCAGAGCCTGGAGCCTGTTTCCGATTCTGTGTCTCCCTCTCTCTCTGCCCCTCCCCCGTTCATGCTCTGTCTCTCTCTGTCCCAAAAATAAATAAACGTTGAAGAAAAAAATTTTGAATATGAGCCTTACTTCTTCTATGTACCTATCACTAGGGTTCACAAGTCCAACCGAGCCACTCTGATGTGGCCAGTGACGCACTTTCGTGGCACAAATGAAAAAAATAAAATTTCTACAGTTCTCCCAAATGACAGAAGTTAGGGTAAATTCACTATATCGTGGGGGCATACAGCTCCTATTCATTTTCCTTCCTCTCGGAATTTCTGTGATGATGCGATTGTCCTATGGCTGACATATTAAACATGTTACATAAAGATCATCAGAGCTTTTTTTTTTTTTTTTGGATGGACGAGATAAACAGTTTTCAACATGGCAAGATACTTTTGTTCACTGAAAAGAAAAAAAATTCTGCCCTTTGACTTGAAAACCACAGGAGAGATGACATCATGAAAAGCCAGGTATGGAGACGATGTCTTCTCCAAGTGGAACTGAACCAAACGTGATTAGGACTGCTTGCCTCTGAGGGTCCAAAAGTGTGTGCTAAGAGAGTATTCATTTCAGAAGAGCCATGTGTCAGGACAGACCCTTTCTTCCTTCTCTTTCTTCCCGCCGATTACACCTGTACACATGTTTACTCCCAAACCGCTTCAAATCCCCACGCATTCTTGCAGGCTGACTGGTTTCTACTGCCCAGAAGTTCCCCTCCTCTTTTGGCTGAAGATCCCGCATTCATGTGGCTTCTGCGCACTGCGGGGCTCAATGAAATCCTCTGAAAGGGCTGCCAACTCACCCAATTTTCCATGAATTAGGTCCTGACACTTCAATGAGGGGAAAGACAATGTCTGAAACTCTGCCAGCGCTGGCTCCCGGCCTAGCCCGTGTCACAGAACCTCTCCCGGCGGCCCTTGCACACAGCACTTCATACTTTTCCGACCACCAAACAAACAGACCCTTGAACGCTCTCAGTGCCAGTTGGGGTTACGGCTGCCAGCATGTTTTCCCAGCCTCTGGCACCCAATGGCTCCAGACCGTGCCGAGAAAGTTTTTTGTTGTTGTTATTTTGTTTGGTTGTTATTTTTTTTTTTTTATGAATGGCTTGGATAGAAAATGCAGACGGAAGCATAATACTACAGCCATTCATAAAAAGGGAAAGGAAACAAACCGTAGTCTGGCGATCTTCGGAGACACCAAACAAACTGCAAGTCTCTTATCTTCCTTGAAGTATCTCCTAGCTTAGGACTAAGTGTTGATACCTAGAAAACAGTTGCCCCTTAGGATTCCTGTCATCAGAAACGTGGTCGGCCGTATATCTCTATAAGAATTGAATAATGTCAACTACGCACATCAATCTTTAGTGTGACCGGCAGGATACTTTCCTGCACCTCAATACATGAGTAATATTTTGCACGTGCTTTTCCCACATAAAAACCAAAATCCTTTCTATTTTTAACAGCTGCCCCTTTATGACCAGGAGGTCCCAAGCCTTATTATTTCCATATTTCCCCCCCCCCCCCGCCCCCCGCAGGGAAACTAAGGTAACTAAAGTAACTGAGGTAAATAGGGAGTTTAAGTAACCTCCCAGAGATCATTTTCTCAAGCTAAAACAACCTGGGTCTTCTAGTTCTTTTAATACCCTGTAAAACGCTCCGAGGAAACCCATCTTCCTCCTTAACCAAAGATAAATAAATAAATAAATAAATCAATAAATAAATTCAAATCCAGGTCCAATCCAGGAGGAGAAGGGCCTTGATTTCCAACTCCAGATTCACCTTCTTCTTTGGGATCTCTCAGGATTCCCCACTGCCACCAGGGCCAGAGGAAGGCCATGGCTTCCCCAGCAGGGCCCAGGTCTGGTTCCACAGGCGACTCTAGGCGACTCCAGTCCTGAAGACTCCAGGCGACTACCAGAGGACGAGAGTTAGGTCCCAAAGCTCCAGCTGATTCTTTCTCCCCCACTGGAAAGTCTGCCTTTATTATCAAGTGTGGAGGGTCTAAGAAGTCCCTTTTAAAGGCATGGATTTCGGGGCGCCTGGGTGGCGCAGTCGGTTAAGCGTCCGACTTCAGCCAGGTCACGATCTCGCGGTCCGTGAGTTCGAGCCCCGCGTCGGGCTCTGGGCTGATGGCTCAGAGCCTGGAGCCTGTTTCCGATTCTGTGTCTCCCTCTCTCTCTGCCCCTCCCCTGTTCATGCTCTGTCTCTCTCTGTCCCAAAAATAAATAAACGTTGAAAAAAAAAATTAAAAAAAAATAAAATAAAATAAAGGCATGGATTTCATAATGACTGTTCTAGTGCACAAATTAGCAAAGTCCTCTATAGTGGCTCATTTGGATGATTCTGCTGATTGTTTTTTTTTTTTTTTTTAATTTTTTTTTCAACGTTTATTTATTTTTGGGACAGAGAGAGACAGAGCATGAACGGGGGAGGGACAGACAGAGAGGGAGACACAGAATCGGAAACAGGCTGCAGGCTCTGAGCCATCAGCCCAGAGCTTGACGCGGGGCTCGAACTCACAGACCGCGAGATCGTGACCTGGCTGAAGTCGGACGCTTAACCGACTGCGCCACCCAGGCGCCCCTCTGCTGATTGTTTTTTAATAAGTCTGTGCCCATGAGTTCCTACAGCTTGGGCACGTTGTCGACTTGGTGTGCAAACCCCTTCGTGCCCTGAAATCTGAGGTACTTTAAGTTACTAAGAGATAGTTACACCTTTCAAAAAGTTTGTAATGCAAATCTCTCGTTCGGCCGTTGTATTTAAACATCTAAAATAGTAGGTAAAAGACAGCTTTCCAGCCAGAATGAAATGACATCATCAGCGACTACAAAGGACTTCGAAGGAATGCTGTGGGTTAATACAACGTTAAAATCAAACCGTGAGAACTAAAAAGACCCCATCAATAGAACAGATCACGTAAAGATGAAGAAAGGCCCTCTTCTCACCACATGGGCTCCAAAGTATGGTTCTCTGCAGGCTCATCCTTCCATTGCACTAGTTCAGCCAAATTCAATGTACCGTCTTTACACACACAAGTATTATTGTTAAAGTTTGTACGTAGCGTAGGATACAGCATGCTAAGAAATCACAAAGGATACTAAACGAAAAGCACATACTTTTAGATTTCGGAGATCATAGGGCAAACCAGTATTTCTCCAAATGAAAGGAAAACAGCTATTGATTTTTTAATGTCCACAGAGTATTTTGGTTTTTGAGATTTTACAGAAAGACACTTGTAAAGGACATGGCCTGCCACACCATCTATTTCAGAATAATTAAGGGGTTCCCT